ACTACTCGCGTGCCTCTTCATCAGTAGTAGCACCGTTACACCGGAATCAATACGTGCAGAAATTTAGCCGACTTTCTTTTCTTCGTGGAAGCATCGGCCGTTCCAACAAATTGTGAAATAAGTGAATTCCCGGTAAAGACTTGCTGCGTGCGTGTGATCCAACATTTCGATACCACTAATCAACTTATTCGAAACTTTTCCCGAAACCTTTTCCCTCTTTTCAAAGCTTCTAATGCTCACAATTACCAAATTACGAACTGCCCGTCATATGCTTGGATGTACTCGGTGTAGAATCAGGTCTTTCGAGCTTGTTAATTACTTTCTACCGATTCGTGCCTAACTGATTTCCAAACGAATATAAGCAAAATGAAATAGGTATTAGAAAAATGACATTTTTCAGAAAAAAATATCGCAGCAACTGTCTTTGTCTTGGTGTTGAAGAAAAGCAAACTCATAGAATAAGACGCTTACCGCTAAAACTCTATCTCCTACAAAAACGCGTTTTGAAAGTCCGGCTGGCTTGTCAGGTTGCACCTGAGAGACAAAAGTTGCATCCGATCCGTCGCCACCGACGATATTCAGCCCCAAACTTCCACCGATAGAACGGCGGGCTGGTGTGGGTACGTGGGCTCCTCCCTGTGATTGGCTGAAAGAAGCCGGCCTAAAGTTTCTATACAGAGTTACCATACGTGCCTGGGGCCATCGTGAAATCAGATCTGCCACGGAAGCTGCAGCGCTGTAGTCGACTAATAAAGAGCAAAACAATGCTGGGTAGTTAGGATGAGTATGATGGTGAAGTAGGATGATGAACCGAGGATTGTGTACAATAGTGAGGTCATGGAACAGTGTCAGCATTATCAAGCAAAACAGAGCATAGCCTGACAAAGAAAGATCTTTCTCCAGGTATTTAACACACTGAAATATGCATAAACGGGATTGATGGGGATGATGGTCATAAGGGATGATCAGTTCAAACTCCTATGGAAGACTAAAGCACAGCGTGAACTCGTGAGACGCGATGTTACCTTGCACACCAATGTCAACTGATCCATTGTTATTCATCATACTGATCAGAAGGATGAATAGCCTCCAAAGTAATCAGGGAATCATGATCTCACTGCATTTATTCGACTGGTAGTTTCAAAGCAAGAAGTGCAACCTGGAAAAACTATAGCATATTAGTTAGTCGTAAGTGAAAAACCACAGAAGGGGAAATAGTGCTCTACGCTTCTTATTCTAGTGGTCTCGTGATGCGAAATCCCTTGTGTGCATTAGAAAATTCTGTTGTGATCACTTCAGAGGATAACCACTATGCATTCATACATTCATTTATACATTCATTTACATTCATTTATACATTCATTGAATTCGTACAAAAGAAATCCGACGGTACGGTACGACGGTGTCAGGTTCATCGGCCACAACTGTATTTATCGGTACACGAGTGATAAGTCACCTCACATGTAGACTTACTCAAGCCGGCCATTTGTTCTTCTAAAAGCTCCTGCCCTGTCGGAGCAAAGCAGGGAGTAACCATATCCTCGGCAGGTTTGCCAACTTCTTCATCCGAATTGATCAGTTGAGAGGATGGAGATATGTGTGATGAAGTAGTTTCACTAAACTCCCTAGTCTGTGGTGTAGCCTCATCACCAGTCTCCGGCGGGGATAGTAAAGCTGCCTTGTCCATGGGAGAAGAAGCCAGTTTGTGATCTGATACCCCGATGCTGGATCTTCCTTTCTCTGTTCTTGTATTTTTGCTTGATTCTTTAAATTTTAAAAGAAAAATTGGCAACTAAATTGATGAGGAGAAAACTAAATCTTGAGATAATTTGCTAAGTTGCAACTTACGTTTTGAAAACACAACGGAATCTCTCGCATATATTCTTCAACTGAACGTGCTGCAAAAGGCCGCCTTACGTTCCAGTTGACATGATATTCGAGATATAGCAGTATATTTGCCTGACCCAACCAACTATCCAAAAGGTTGCTAGAAATTAGTCAACAGCGCAACACCGTCTTGGCCCTTCTTGGGGTTCGCGGAACTTGGCGAACAGATCAACGGCCACCTGAT